TCTTTGAACATAACAAAATCATCACCGAATTTCAGTTTGGTTTTAGAAAAAGCATGAGCACTTACATGCCCCTTCTTTTGGTTCAAGAAAAGGTAAACCAAGCATTTGAAGCAGGCAAAGTTGTCTGCGGCTTATACCTTGACCTCCGAAAAGCATTTGACACTGTGAACCAAACCATTTTACTTAAGAAACTGTATGCTTACGGTATACGTGACAATGCACTTATGATGCTGAAATCATATTTAGAAGGCCGCACACAGTGTGTTGAGGTAGAGCATGTTCGCTCCAGCCTTGCTTCGGTTGATATCGGTGTTCCCCAGGGCTCCATCCTTGGGCCACTTCTGTTTTTAATTTACATCAATGACTTTCCCTCCATTTCTGATGATATAACTGCATATCTGTATGCAGATGACACAGCCATTTTCATTGAAGGCAATGATGAAGCCCATTTGCAAAGAGTCATCGACGCCACAATGCCCAAGATAGCTGTTTGGTTTCAAGCAAACCAATTATCTTTAAATACAGACAAAACTTTTTGTCAGCTCTACAATAATTCTAAACGCGCTGTCAATGTGTCTGTTTTGCTCTCTGGTGCACATATTAAATTTGTTAAAACAGTTAAGTACTTGGGCATGTACGTAGATGACGATCTGAAATGGAAATCACACATTTCACACCTTTCTACAACGCTGACTCGTAACGTTGGACTCATAAGCAGAGCTAGGTATATATTGGTACCTAAACAGCTGCTTCTTTTATATAACGCACTTTTCCTTCCGTATATCAACTACTGCTGTATGCTTTACAGCAACACTTATATTACAAACGTAGATAAGCTCGAGAAATTACAAAAGCGTGTGGTCAGAATGATTGATGGCGAACATAGACTCGCACACACAGCACCAATTTTTAAGAAACTGAAAATACTTAAGTTGAGAGACATTGGTAAGCAGCAGATGCTTCTGCTAATGCATAGAAAGTTGAAAGGAACTTTGCCTTCATCTATTGACAGACTTTTTACGATACTCGAACCGCTTCGAGATACTCGCTCGACCCATCATTTCCACGAGTTCTTCTCAGAAAAAAATTATCGCAGCTACACTACTAGGTGGTCTGCACCTAGAATTTGGAACTCAATAATTGGTCCTAAGTTCACAGATATGGAAGCAGTTCCACTAACTAAGAGAGAAATCAAGGATTTCTCAAAGCAGTTTTTTATCGATCAATACTGATACCATTGCCAACACTGACATTATTGTTCTTGTGTTCCACCTGCGTTCGTAAACATACGAATACCTGCCAATGAAATGATCCCCCATTTTATTTATTGTGGGTATGTACGTACATTTACCTAATAATGTATTTTTTACCCGCTCTCTCACAGGTACATACTTGCACAGTACATAGTTATATGTACACAATTACAGAATTTGTCTTTAATGCATATCACTTATGCATACCTAATTTTGGAACATTGTACATCTCTGTAACTGGGTAGGTATGTTCTAACTGGGTACCTAGATCGCCACAAGAGGTGGTGGTATTTAGTGGTCCTTATGTCTTTTCCCTGTGTCTTTTACTTCTTCTCGAACTTTTATCCCACATTTTTGTTTTGCCCTTTTCTTTTTGTTAAGCTTTGCTTTTTCTCCCTATAAACATCATACAGTACGTACAGTACTAACTGTATGTCTTTGAATCATCGCCATCGCTCAATGACCTAGCTTTCTTGCTATTTACATTACTTGCTATTTGTATACCGGTCGTCTCGTCTTGTTTTGTGTACTTACAAGTCACACTTAAGTTCTCCTGGATACGTAACAATACGTAAATCAGCCCTACGATACTTCCCACCGACCTGGGTTTACCGAGCAACAAGCTTGCTTAGCTCGGTATCCCTTTTCGGTGAGGATCTGACTCCTCCGGGTGTGACTAGGCTCTGTCCCTCTTGTATAATGCAAGCTTTGCATGCGCTTATTACCACTAACCCCTGGATCACTCTCTCCTTCTTACTATCTTCTTTGGGAATGGTGTAGCGGCCAGTCAAGCTATATTTAGTCTTGACTTCTTTGCCTCTTCTTATGACATTTTACTAACTTACTAAGTATTGTATTTAGCTTTGTTTTTGTTTGCTTTCCTTTTCTTAGCAGGGAGTGTCGCGACTTTCTTCATATTTTTGTCTTGGGAGGTGTTAACGTAAGGTGCTGTTGTCGCGTGGGTCAGTGGGTGGACACTCCTGGTCGTCTGATCGTGGGCGGCGGCTTAGAAAAAAAAAATTAAAAAAAAAAATAGTGGAGAAAGTTGTGAGCACACAGCTGACGACCTACCTAGCCGAAACCAATCTGCTCCACCCATCACAGTTTGGTTACAGGATGCAACACTCAACCGAGGACGCCGTTCTCGTCGCGATCGAACGCGTGACTGATGCCATCGATGAGGGACATGTGTCGTCGCTGACGACGATCGATCTGTCAAAAGCGTTTGATTGCGTTGATCATAGACTTCTCCTCGCCAAACTGTCATGGTATGGTATCATTGATGTGGACTGGTTTCAAAGCTATTTAAGTAACCGAAAGCAAGTGGTGCGAGGCGGGAAACTTACCCTACCTGTGACGTGCGGTGTGCCGCAGGGTTCTATTTTGGGTCCAATTTTGTTTATACTTTTTACAAATGACATCTATTCGCATGTGACCCATGGCCGACTCATATCATACGCCGATGATACGGTACACATTGATGGAGCGCGCCCTGATGGACCGGGTCTAACCGACCTGAAAACAAGACTCACCCTGACCATGTCTGAGCTTCAGTCGTGGTTCAGAAACAATTTGCTTAAGATGAATGAAAAGAAAACTGATTTTATGATTGTTGGAACAAAACATAACTTGACCAAATCTTCAGGAATTTGTATCGAAGTCAGTAATTCGTTAGTAAAACAGTCCAGTCACATAAAATTGCTCGGTGTCACAATCGACCCTGGTCTTACATGGAGCGCTCACATCTGTAGTGTTATCAAAAAGTGCAACAGGATTCTTGTTTCTCTGTATAGGTTCCGCCACTATTTCACTCAGATTGCTCTCAAAACCATCATTCAGGCATACGTGTTCCCTCATCTAAACTACTGTCTGTGCGTCTGGGGTGGGGCGACCGGGAGCCTACTTCATCGCATTCAAAAAGTGTTAAATTTCGCTGCTCGCATTGTAACAGGCTGCAAGAAACGTCAGCATGTAACGCCTGCACTTCTGTCACTGGGATGGCCTAAGATAGAGTCCATGGTGGCCTACCGCGACGCAGTAAAAACATATAATGCGTTAAATTCGGAGGGAGTGCCAACCGATGTACGAAATATGTTTGTCACGCGCGAAACCGTGTCTAGTCGAGAAACCCGAGGGTCTGTGGAGTGTAGCCTGCAGCTACCGCGACGCAGATTGACGGTGGCACAGAAACACTTTTCATACCGAGCGGCGGCGGCATGGAACCGGCTCGCACCAGCAGCGCGAACCGCGACGTCGATGGCAGCTTTTAAAGCTATCATTAGAAGTGCCTGATGTATTTTATCGAGTGTGCTCTGATGTATATGTCAGTTTTAATTCGTTCTTAATTTACATTGTATGCTTTTACTTGTCTATTACTCGCTTATCTTTGTATACCCATTGTACTGACGCTAAACCGTAAAAGCCACCTTGTGGAAGGTTTAAATACACTGATATGATATGATATGATATGACTTGCTTACGTCATATCTACGTCACACACGATCGTTGGCTGCCGGTCGCCGGCGACTGTTGCTGTCGCCGGCAACTGAAAAGTTGCTACGTGTGACAGGGCCATTACAGGGTGATTTTTTTTAACTGTTAAAAAGTAAATGTCAATGGTGGTCCCTAAATCGAAAAATCGCGTGCAAAAAAGCAATGCACGTGATAGATAAATCTGGGACATTTTGTATGGTGTCATAATTTCTCCCTTTTAACCGAAGGCCTTGGCCCCAATGGAGCCTGGAAATGTCCCACCTATCGGGCACGCATGGTCCACCGCCGTTCAGTAAGGAACGGCACAAAACGATGATTTTGAAGCATTGAGGCAGTTCGAAGCATGCGATCATCGAGGAGACACCCCAGAAAGACGTTAAATAATGCACGAACAAGCTTGTAGTCATAAATAACCTTCAAACGGTTCATCTGGCGTATGTGCAGCCTCTGAAGAATCAGTCTTCAGGGAGAAAGAAAAACAACGAATCAGACACCACGAGGGCCGCCAGTATCGAAATCCTCGACCTGCCCTTAATAGACGTCTAGTTTTTGGACCCAGCTATGGCAGATATAACAAGAAAACATTGGAAATATCTGGCAGAGCTGAAAATGGGTGATAGGAGCCTTTTCAGTCCGCCTGATGAGTATGTGAGTCCATGGTGCTGTTCAACACGTGCTCAGGCGGGCTGATTCGTGTTGGTGAGAGAGGGGGCAACTTCAAGCACAAGTAAAACACACGATGGACGTTCCTTTAACATCGTGTCTGCATGAAATTAAGATGTCCCAGCATGCTTGTCATCCTGGTATATAATTTTGCAATATATATTTGTATTTTAATGCCACTAGACCCCATTACTTTTTAACAAGTAAAAAAAATCACCCTGAGGGCCCCTGAGCCTCAGAGGGCCCCGTCACGCGCGATTAGGGGCCTCTTCATGCGCTTAGAGGGCCCTGCCGTGTACTCATAGGGCCTTTATGTACCTTAGAGGGCCCCGTCTAGCAATCAGGGCCCTTATCATATGCTCGGAGGGCCCTTGCCAAGGAATGAGGGGCCCCTTCATGCGTTTAAAGGGCCCTCTCTTGTACTCAGGGCTTTTCTGTAGCTCATAGGACCCTCGTCAAGCGTTCTGGGGCCCTCTAAGCGTCAGACTGACCGGGTCGGATTATTGCCCAGTGTCGCCAGACTCTGACCGGGTGGGATTCTTTGCCCACTGTAGTGTACGACTTTGATCGGTGGTACTTTGCTGCTGACAGGCGATGGGTGCGGCGGCCGTGATGAGTCCAATGATGGTGCAGGCGATGGCCGGTCAGCTGGCCCAGATGGGCCTTCCGCCCATGAACATGGCCCAGATCCAGAGCCTGCTACTGCAGCAGATGATGAGCCAGAAGCTCCCGCCGCCTCCGAGCCTCTTCTTAGGAGGAGACTCTAAGGTGGGTGAGTCGGAACGCGGCTGCTGCTTGTTACGTTGGTATTCGGTTCTTTGGTTTGTTTCTGTTAGTACGACAGGCTAGGGTGTGTGTGGAGCGTGAGCCCGGGTGAGTGTGGTCATTTGTCGCATTGCACTCATTGTGTCGCCTGACAAATGTGCTCCGGCCCTTGCGCAACATGATGCGAACAAGACCAAGCGAATATGATTTAGTTGACATGTGCGTTGTGCGGCACGTCGTGCTGCATGTTTTCGTCTAGACAGCGAGTTGCGTGGAAAAGTGCTGATTTTATCGCTGTTTTAGGAGCCGGCAACTGGACGGGATTTTCGTTATAATTTTTAGTTCCAATTGCTTTATTTCACAGTGTTTGGTTGTTAGATATTTAACATCTTTTAAAAATAATAATTTGCTTAGCAAAGTTTGTAACCAGCGTTTCATTTTTCTAAGTCAACCATTGGATTCCTAAAAAGTACACCACCACTGCAATGACTAAAGGAAATAGTTCACTTTTAACATGGGGTTTTGAACTGGAATAGCAGTTTCGTAGCTTCAGCTGAGACTAGCACAAATCAGGAGCTTTTACGGCCCAACGATCACCCTAGATGAAGATATTCCATTTCCTGTTCCGTAAAGAGTGCCTTGCTTAGTAATGCGTGCCTTGCTGAGGAGTGCAGCAACGTCATCGTCACCCAATCAGCATGCTGCTTACAGCCAATGCAGCATGCGTAGTTTTGAACTACGCAATATGATTGGTCAGTGTGTAATAAGTTTCCGCGTCAAACATTATTTTATATAGAATATAGTTCTTCCTAAATTGAAATATAAAAAATAATCATTTTTCAAAAACGTTTTATGCTATTTTCGGATCATTTTGAGCATAAAAATCATATATCCATTGCAAAAAACGAAGTTCAGGAAAGTGAACAACCCTTTAAATAAACAACTGGAGCAGCACTTGGCTGTGTTCTAAGGGTCGTGTTTCAAAATGTCTGGTGGTCTTTTTTATAGCTAATTTGAAATATTTGTCAGTGACTTGTATCAAAATACAAGAGCATGTTGACTGAAAACAATTTTCTACGGACCAGGTCTGTGGAGTCAGAGTCGGAGTCGGAGTCGGAGTCGGAGTCGGCAGTTTTGCCCGGAGTTTGAGTCGGAGTTGGAGTCGCCAAAATGTTACCGACTCCGACTTCGGATTCGGAGTTTACACTGCATGGCTTAAAGTCATGCCCTACATCTAGTTGCTTGACGATATTTCGCTCATTGACCTTTCAAAATGAGAATTTGTTGAAGCCAAGGACATAGGGGAGAGGCGGGCGAATTGGGACTTGTATCTAAGGCCATATTTATTTAGGCATTATTTGAAAAGTATTGTAGCCATGCTGTTTTGTGCAACACCAATAAAAGTTCGGTCATTTATTTGCATCATGCCATCAAAAAACACCGTGCCTGCATAGTAAATAGTAATGTGGTTATATTTGGACAACAACACTCATTTTGAGGAGAATACAGACATACACAGTAGAAAAGGAACAGACACGAGGCTGACTTGGGAGTTGGGACGCATAAAAATTTGGTATTGGGACAACGACATTTCGAATTATGTGTCGTGTCTATGTCTAGGCAATCATTTGATACATTGGAACTCACTTCACACTGTCTGTTTCGTTAAAGGACGGGATTGTTAAGCACGATGACGATGCTTCCATAGAGTGCATATTTTCCTTACCAGAGTGTTATGTGCTCCGTGCTGTGCCAGGAAGTGACACGTCACACCTTTAGTGGCCACACGTTCATAGCGATTATAGTGACGGCGACTCACGACACATCGCGATCCGTATAGCCGGCCGCTGCGGGTCCTGCTCGGACTCGCTGCGGAAGGACAGGGCGCCGGCGCACTATGGTTGGAAACGGCCTCACGGATGGCCGTGGGCAATTTCGGAATATATGTATATTTGGGGTGTCATTCTGTTGGAAATTGATGGAATGTTTTGAATTGGGCAGAAAAAAATTATTTAGTTGCGCATTTAGTCTCCATTATTGTACGTGGAATCGGGAGTTTCTGATAGTGGCTTTTTGGTGCGCCGTCAAAGGTTTAAACAACCACGCTGGTGATAGCATGTGGAGTACCTCCATGACGTTGTAAAACTGGATTATTATATATCAAAATAATCCTTGTTATGTTGGCTATCGAGTGGAGTGACTCTTTTTCCCATGCGTGTTCAAAATCAGGAACGGCATTGCATTCTGTTTGCAGTGTCACCACAACAATATTTGCAAAATTACGTTTATGTTTCATTGGACATACAAAAAGTTCTCCATCGACCTCCATTGAGCTTTTTGGCAGAATGAATCTCTGTTCAATTCTGCGTAAGGGGAACGTAAAAGCAGACTGCGCACTTGTGCGCAAAATCGTCCGTGAAGCTTCATCTCCCGAGGCGTACCTACCCGTCGCTTCGTTAGCACCAGGTCGGCTCGTCAGTCTTGCAATCGATTATCCTTATAAATAATGGTAAGAAGCAGGGTTGTGGAGTCGTGGTGGCGCCAACTCCGACTCCGACTACGACTCCGACTCCTGACTCGTTGCCATGACTCCGGGCGACTCTGTCTCCGACTCCGGACCCCTGCCAGTGTTTCGGAGTCGTGATGGAGCTGTTCCGATTCGGACCGACTCCGACTTCCACTGCGGGCTCCTGACTGACCCCGACTCCGACTCAGACTCCTGGCTCGTTGCCACGACTCTGGGCGACTCTGACTCCGACTCCGACTCTGACTCCGACTCTGACTTCGACTCCGCACCCCTCGTAAGAAGTAACTGCTCGCCCCTGCACCTGGTGTATGGATATCGTGCAAACGTGTATGGATATCCTGGAGTATGGATATGGATATCCACCGACAGAGCAGACATACAGACATGCTGTAAACGCCATTACACTGCCAATACCATGGCAAATCAAATGGCTATCTATGGTTTTTGATCATCGTTCTACATTTTCCAAAATCTTGAACTGAATGTTGGCAATTTCTCGTGACTACTTCACGACCATGATGCATGCATTTCTGAAATTGATCTTTTTCAACCAGCCACGTACTCGTATGATAAAATGAATGTCACCATCGTGTTCTACGCCCAAAAGTACCCATAAAACATGTGTCATGCATGGGCTGCGAATAGGTACCAGTTTTAATTTTCGGGGTTATGTGCTTACCTGATTGACCTGACTTTGACCCTGGCCAGTGGCCTATGTTTGACTGACCCCTACATTGATCTGACACTCTTTTAGCACTTATATGAAGGGTTGTGACAGTTGTGACAGTTGTGACAGATTGTTTAGGACCAACTGATGACTGAATTTATTTAGGACCAACTGATGACGATATAATCGAAACGCGAAACGCGAGGCACCGATTGCGAGGTTCTAAAGTCCATGCTACTGAAAGCCCGATTTCAAGTGTTTGACCTGACCTTGACCCGACCTCTGACCTCGAAATTCAGCTTTAAAGTATTCATGTGAATCGTCTCGTCGCGTTCTTCTTTCGTTTGCCGCGCCTCGTGCGTTTCGCTGCGCCTATTTGTTCGCGAGTTATCGGCTGGGGGCGTTGAACGCCCCCCCCCCCCGGCAAACGGCGGATGGGGAAGTACCCCAGCAACTGCCGGGTTAATCTGACGCATATTTTGTCATTTGATCGTCATTTTATTTCTTACTTTTTTGCCCAATCTAAAAAAAATCATAAATACTCTTTCTCCAAATTTTTGACCCTTTATGACCAATAGTAAGACACTGTGCGTCACTACGTTGTTATTTCTCGCCCTAAAGCATAACAACAATATCCATTCAGTAATAGCAGTATTCAAAACATGTTCAAAATGCCTCACGATATCGATAACATAACGAAAGACATAGGCGACTTATAACATACTTGCAATGATGACGTCACACACGCGTGACGTGACGTGACCTCGTCATTTCTGAGTTACTGTATGATGCACGAAAGACACTGGTATACCTATGCAAAGTTTCATCGCAGTCGGTCTACGCATTAACAAGTTATGGGCAAAACATTTTTTCGCGTTGACCCCCGGCCATCCGTGAGGCCGTTTCCAACCATAGTGCGGCGGAGAGATAGCCGGCCGCGGCATCGAGACAGTCGGGCGCGGCCGCACCGACACACCGACAGGCACACCCGGCCACGGCCGCACCGACACGGCCACCGGAGGATCCCGTGCACAGTGTGCAAATGGGGTTCTCGAGTGGCCATAAATACCAAAAAGTCAAAAGTGTTTTGGGCAATTTTTCGCGTTAATTGCGAAAATCTGACCAAAAGATGTATCGCACCATCAATGATCCGATACGCCATCAGAGGCCGCGCCGCGGACAGGTGGGCGCGGCGATACCTAGGCCGCGTGGGGGTTACACTGGTGTTCGGGAAGGGCTATGTCAACGCGAGGCAGGCCGCGGGGGAGCCGGTTTCGGCGCCTGTCCGTATTTGTCGGCGCCTAACAGTGCAGCGGTGCGTTTATGGCGGAGGGAGGGGAAGCGGTGTAGTGTCGGCAAGGCCGCACACAGGAGAGGGCACACGCCCCCCCCCCCCCATTCGAGTTGGGGCCCGTAATCTTTAGACCGCCGAAGACCATGTAAAATGAACTGAAATAATGATTGAAAAGACCGGGAGGGCCCATCTCGTTCCCCAGCAGGCCCATACGAGTCCATAAATGCCCAGTAGCGCAGCCAGGGGATATTGTGAAATTTCAATGGCCCTCAAAAGACCTCAAAGGGCCCACAGATGGGGTCACCGGGTCCTCAGATGGTCTCGAAGGGCCCTCGGTTAGCGTCAAATGGCCCTCATCTGGTGTCAAATGGCCCTCAGATGGCCAAATGAAGGGCCACAAGATGGCCTCAAAGGGCCCTCAGATGGGTTCAAAGGGCTCTCAGGACCATGGGCGCAAAATGACCTTAGCAGTCGGCGCGCCCTAAAGCCCCAATCAACAAACAAACAAAGGGCTC